GAATCTGGCACTGATTTGGCTCTTCAGGCTACCTTTAGGCTTGTCCTAGAAGAATCTTTCTCAAAGTTTTCAATATTGACAAATGCTAATGGTAGATCAGTGATGTTAGAACCATTTGACCTTCCTGGAATGAATGTGATTGACCAAGGAGCAGACGAACCTCTTCTCATTGTAGATTCTTCCAATGGTGGGCCATCTTCTGTTTTTCTTGTGGTACCAGGATTGGATGGTAGAAACGAAACCATATCTTTAGAATCCCAAAGCAACAAGGGCTGTTATGTGTATAGTGGTATTAGCTCTAATGCAGGAGTCAAGCTCAGTTGCAAATCTGATTCTGATGCTACTTTTAATCAAGCAACAAGCTTTGTTACTCGGGAAGGATTGAGCCGATACAATCCTATCAGTTTTGTGGCTAAAGGAGCAAACAGGAATTTTCTTTTGGAGCCATTATTCTCATTCAGAGATGAGCATTATACAGTTTATTTTAGCATTCAAGGTTGATGATATGAGTTTTTCTTTCCCCTTAAAATAAACAGTATAATAAGTTTTGTACAAAGGTTCAACATTCAATTACAGAAATAATAGTTAGTGAATATCTTCTTGCGTTTGGTTGTGTTATTAAATGGATACTCAGTGATAATCAGAATTGGTAAATTGGAAGTCAGTTGCAGTAACTAACCTTTCTATATTCATTTTATATGAAAGAAAATATTAAACTATCACTCTCTCCCCTAAATACTCCATATATTATATTGTTGTAATTATATAAGTAGCTCCTAAAGTTAGAAATTATGTTATATAGTCTTTCAAGTATAGGAAAATTTCTTCAAATTAGTCTCTCAATGTTGATAAATATATCAATCCAAGGACGAAATTGATTCTTTATTAAAAAAAGAAAAGAACAGATGGGAAAGAGAAGTGGTGATGTATATCACCTATTCAATGTAGCTGTTTTGGTTAATAATATCAAAAATTAGTAACCAAGTACTATATAATATTAATTAAAGGGGTACCTAATTTCTTAGAAAAATAAGATTCATATTATAAAATATTTTCATTAAGGTGAATCTTTTAAATAGGTAATTAGCATTTAATAGCAAAAATCTGATTTCTAAGTATTTATTAGTTTGAAGGCAACAAAAAGAATATAAAAAAAATATTAAAAAAAAACTATGACAAATTCATTTGTCGAAAAAAATATTTTTAAATCACATGATTCTTTGTTTTACTCTTAAAAATAGTACATTGTTTATTTCCTTATCTCTTTAATTTCATTCTTTAATATTTTTACAACATTCATTTTAGAAATATTATTCATGTCAAACTCTATTATCATGCATATTTGTTCGACATTTAATATCAACAATATTAAAGAATCACTTTACATATTAAAGAATCATCCTAGATTCCAATATTGATACTTTTTTAAGTATATAATATTATTAAAAAAAAACACAAAATAGATATCATACGATGAGTGTATTTATTTGTGTTTAAAACAATAACTACTTAAAAGTAATCTATTTTAAGAGATACTTATATTAATAGAAGCTTTGTTTTGTTTGATACTAATAGAAGCTAATTAGTATTTAGTTACAATTTTGAAAAGTAATTTCTAAAATTCAAATGTTTTTTTTTATCTCGTTTGGATATCTAGAAGAGGTTCTTTTTATAAAAATTAAAGACTTTAAATAATAAAACACATGGTCTAGATGTAAGTTAAATAGAGAATCATCAACAAAGAGAAAGATGGTAGGAGTTGAATCAGTTACAAAAGAAATAAAATAAAAAGCAATCTGTTTGTTGAAACCTAAATGACACGAATAAGAACAATTATTCTCATATTAATTTGGGCAGTAGATGGGACCAACAGTTGCATTTGCATATGTAGAAACTACTAATAAAATATCAGACAATCTAAAAGCCACTTGCATCTACTTATAGAGTATATTTGTTACTTATCACTTAAATGATAATACATATGGAAAAGAAAAACTTTGATCTTAGAATGCGATATCTCCTTATTTGATAAATATAGTTGTTGTAAATTCAATTCTGCAAAAATTGATTTTGCCTCAGCAAGAAAAAATCCATATCATACAAACTAAATAAGCAGATAAGAACAAGCTGTACAAAATAAAGTTGGAAAAAAGTAAAAAACCCAGAAGAGGAGGGATTGATCATCATTTCAAATTTTATAAGAGTCTTGAAAACTAGGTCTAGATGCCTTTTTACTCTGTCTTTTCTGATTTGATACATTAAAAAGTTTACTCATGCAACGGTTCTGCTCGTCCGTTTAAATTCGGCCCATCGTCGGTTGCTAAAAACGGGTTTGGTTGGGCTGTCTCTCTAAGCAAAAACGGGTTGGTTGTCCTGCCCCGTTCCGTTTAAGGATGTCAGCCCACCAAAATATTTAGAAAAAAGGGGGAAAAAGGAGTATGAAAGAAAAAAAAAATGAGATACCTTTTTCAGTGTTAGGAATATAAATGAATATAGATAATCTATGATCTCGAACTAACTTAAACCAATCTAATGAATTTTGATAAGATTTTTTTATGTTTAAATTAGACCCGACTTGATAAAATCTAATATTATATGAATTGGATAATAAATTTTAAATTTGGACTCGTGATTCAACTCAACTCAATCATATAATACTTATAAAAAAATAGTATATAATACATGTGATTTAGTTAAACTTAATAATAAAACCAATCTATCATACCCTGTGATTTGGCCTAGCAAACCAATGGGCCAAAATGCTTAATCCAACTTGTCAATTTCTTGCAAGTCTGTGGGATGTGATTTATTTTGTTATCCCTGTCCTTCCGTCCCAAATTAATTACAATTTTAACATTTAAAAATTATTTTAAAAATAATTTTTGTTCTCACTTTTTAGATAATATTAATTATTTTTTCTAATTTATCTTTTCATTAATAATTCAACTGTTACTATTAAAAATAATTTTATTTAGAGAATGAGATTATTTTAATAAAAATATTAAAAAATGATATATTTATTATTATTTTTAATCTGTTACAAATCTTAAAATATAGTAATTGTGGGTCAGATAAAATATTTTTTTATTCTTTTAAAAATAGTTATTCTTTTAAAACAAACGGACTTTTAAAATAAAAAACATTTAAAACGATAACATGAACCTCCAAATAATTCAAGTTAGCTCACATTTAAATTTCTTTGAGTTAACTTTGAATAATTTGCATTCATTATTAAATAAAAAAATTTGTGGAGAGAAAAAAAAAACATTAAAGAGAAGACAAGTATTGTATAGTATGAAAGACGATTGTATAGTGCAATCAGTGAAAGCCATTTAACATTTTCAAGTCACCCTTTCCATTATGCTCCAAAAGATAGACAAGAGTATTACATCTGTTTAGTTAAATTGTAATATTTGTATAACAAAAAAATGACTGAAAGATGGTAACGTGGAATTCAATATCTAGTTTTGTTACTTAAGATTGTAATTAGAAAGAATGTTGGAATTTAATCCTCTAATACATCATCCACCATTTTTCATTTAACACTTTCTAACATACCAAGTATTAATTTTAAAAAAAATTATGAAATTTGTGTAACCTCCCAATCCCAAACCCCCAAATTAACACCCAAAAATAATGTTATGATAGGATATTAACACCCAAATTTGTTATATGCATGTTTGATGAAGATAATAAGGAAGTCCAACCCCTAAATATATATGATTGTTATTTTTTAAATTTAATTTAGATTTCAAATATTTTTAAAATTTTAGTTTATAGTTGAGTTTTTTAATTATTGAATAAATAATATATCACTAAATACTATTTGGATTTTAAAAAAAATATTTTTTAATATTTATTAACATTATTGAATTCTATTTAAATAAAAAAAATTGTCTTTCGAAAATATTATTGAACAATAATATAATTTTTTTTAATATTTTATCTTATGTAATTAATATTTAAATTTATTTAATTGATATTATAAAATAAAATATTTATAAAAGTATTTAAAAAATTATATTAATTAAAATGATTTTGATATTTATAAAACTAAAAATTAAATATATATTAATAATTTTATCTTATGTAATTAATATTAAATTTATTTAATTGATATTATAAAATAAATTATTTATAAAAGTATTTAAAAAATTATATTAATTAAAATGATTTTGATATTTATAAAACTAAAAATTAAATATATATTAATAATTTTATATGTTGTTGCTATCATTAAAATAAATTTACGTTTATTAAAATATTTTATATAATTATAAAAAAAATAATTTACATAATATTTTATATCATCAATATCAATATATTTATCTAAGGAAATTAATTTTTTTAAAAAAATACCAAATAACTTTTAGTTTAAAAGGAGCTTCAAAATTAAACAAAATGAAAATTACCAAACAACTTTTACTTTATTTTTAAAGCTTATTTTGAGCTTAAAATTTATGCTTTTGTTATTTAGTATTTACACTTCTCCAATTTATTAGATACACTCTATCCTTTTTCCTATTACTTAAATAATTTGTCTATTAATTTAATTTTTTTTTTCAAACAATCTTTTATATGTACTATTTCAAAAAATTAGTTTTTAAATTATATTATTGTTCTGGAAAATACTTTCTAAAATAATGTGGAGCAACGATCTTACCCTGTCACCCGTGAGCTTCAAGGACCATCCTATACTATACAGTATACATGACAAAAATAATGAGTTTATTTTAGGCCTATTATCACTGCTGCATCTTTGGTCATGGGGTGCAATGTGAAAACCAAAACAACAGTACCTGCAACCTTTTGAGGAAGTTCATTGATTTCATTCCCATACAGGATAACCAGTTCTGCAACTTATATGCCCGTGTTTTTGTTTTTATCCATTTTTCATCCCTGGTCACTGTTTATGTGTTGATGCCTTCTCTATCTCTTTGTCCCTAGTTGCATGCATACTTAAAACAACGTGTTTTGTAGTGGAAAGTGGTAACACGATTTTCAAACCTCTCTCTCTCTCCCCTGAGGGAATTCCGGGTGCTATTATGTCCTAGCTTAGGAATCGGTATTAATTTCCCTTTGTCCAAATCCAATAACCTTACCTTTCACAGATGAGTTCAAGGGTCACTTTGCTATATACATATCCCCCTCACATGTCTATGCTGTCTTAACTATTTCCCTTTGAGTACTCAGTTTATGCGTTGTGAAGGATGGAGACTTATGTGTTTGTGTTTGTGGCTCTTGTGCTGTGCACTTGTGCTGCTGGTAAAGAGTGCACAAACATTCCTACACAATCACATACGTTCAGGAATGAGCTAATGACATCCAAGAATGAAACGTGGAAGGCTGAAGTGATGTCTCACTACCATTTGACACCAACGGATGAATCTGCTTGGGCTGATTTGCTGCCGAGGAAGTTGTTGACAGAACAAGGCCAACATGATTGGGGGGTTATGTACAAGAAAATTAAGAGCATGGGTGTGTTCAATGCACCTCAAGGCTTTCTCAAAGAAGTGCCTCTTCAAGATGTGAGGTTGCATGAGGATTCCATCCATGGTAGAGCACAGCAGACAAATTTGGAGTATTTGTTGATGTTAGATGTGGATAGTTTGATTTGGAGCTTCAGGAAGACAGCTGGTTTAGCCACTCCTGGGACTCCTTATGGAGGATGGGAAGATCCGATAAAAAGTGAGGTCCGGGGTCATTTTGTTGGTAAGTTTATTTCATTAATCATATCTGTTGTTGTTTTTCTTTTTGTGCCATATCTAATTTGTGTCCCCAGTTTGATGCTCTTTGTTTGTACTCAACTCTAAATTGCTAATGTAGTTTTAGTTGCAAGGGAATAAGGAGGAAGGGCCTAAAATGCAATCCGAGTGTAATAGCTTGTAATTGATTGTTTTCTTTCTAAGATTCAAAAGGGATAACATAACAGCATATTAAGCACAAGTCTCTTTTTATTTTAATGCTGCTTTTCAATTTCTTTGCTTGCTATTGTTTATACTCAGCTGATAGAAGATTGAACTATTTGTTTGGAGAAAAAAAATTGCAGTGATATTTAGACAATATTTCATAGCTGATGTTTGCTATGTACTAACAGCAACAAATGTTTTCAAGCTTTGTAAAGCTTGATTGTATGTAAGGTTTTCTCTAAAGGATTCCTTGGACTCCACATATTTCAAGTACTGATTGTATTTACTAGGTTTGAGGTTTGTTCATTACTTCTGAAATATCCCTTGCACACTAATATGTTGACACTCTAATGCACATTTGTTTCTTACTGGAATTTTGGTGATCTTGCACACTACCCCTTCCTGCAACTTTTAGCCTCAGCAATTCACTTTTCAAGTTAATCTATGATTGTTTGTTTTTGACACTGTGAAGGGCATTACTTGAGTGCATCAGCTCTAATGTGGGCCAGCACACAGAATGATAGCCTGAAGCAGAAAATGTCATATCTTGTTGCTGGTCTGTCTTCCTGTCAGGAGAAAATTGGAACTGGATATCTGTCTGCATTTCCATCTAAGCTTTTTGATCGATTTGAAGCTATTCGAAAAGTTTGGGCTCCCTATTATACCATTCACAAGGTACAAACAAAAATAGATTTTGATTACACAAGTGCTTTTGACCTTAATGTTGTGGGATTTCAACGAATCAGCTTTGAGTTGGACAGATCTTGGCTGGTCTCTTGGATCAACATACTTTTGCTGGAAACCCTCAAGCTCTAAAAATGGCAACATGGATGGTTGATTACTTCTACAACAGAGTACTGAATGTAATAACAAAGTACACCGTAAATAGACACTATCAATCACTGAATGAGGAAACTGGAGGAATGAATGATGTCCTTTACAGATTATACAGCATAACGGTATGTTAACTGGCTTGTGTAATTTCTTTAACTCTATTGTTGCTTTTTTGGTTGTATCATGTTCTAGAATTGCAGTGTTTGTTGATTTAGGAATATGCATTAACATATATGGATTATAATCCTTAATTGAGAGATTGTTTTATAAGCATTGGCTTAATTGCATTAGTTTCCATGATTATAGCCCAAGTTACCTAGTTAATTTTGTAAACTTCGATTAGATAGTAAAGTTGTCATGTTTTCTATGCAGGGGGATTCTAAGCATCTGTTGTTGGCTCACCTTTTTGATAAACCATGTTTTCTAGGGTTGCTTGCAGTGCAGGTAGTGATAAAAGTATTCTTTATGCAGAATTGCTATTTAGTCCACACTGTCTTAAATAGTTGTGCTTGTATGCAAGTTTTTAGAGGTTGAAGCTGTCTTTCAAATTATTTTTAAAATCAGTTGTATTGCAGTCATAACTCATAACTAATATTAACTTTAAGACATGCAAGTACATCTGTAAAAGTGCATCCAATATTCTCCAAAAAGTTTCCATGTAAAATTTAATTGGTTCCTTATTTCAAGTTTAATTTTTTGAAGGCAAGCCTTAGTGAAATGCTAATGTACTAATGTCACTGCCTGTGAGGTCAAGAGTTTGAATCCTAAAAACTGCCTCTCATGGGATTAAGTCTGCCTAATCTATCTTCCTTAGTTCCCCTCTAAGTGAGAGTCTTGTGTACTGAGTTACTCCTCTAATTCAAGTTTAATTTTTATTGAAAACAGATAATGTAAATAGGAAAATATAGACAGTCAATTTCCCTATTTTTATGCACCAAAAGGTGAGTTTATTCTGCTTGAATATAATGTTCTGCTGACCTCCAAATAAAACAGATGTTTGAATGTTGAACTTAGGCCCTAATATTCTAGTCTAGATATCGCTTCTAAATTTAAGTCAAGAACCAAGAGTTAGTTTTAAAATTCTCTTTTCTGATTTAGGCCAATGACATAGCTGATTTTCATGCTAATACACATATCCCAATAGTTGTTGGATCTCAAATGCGGTATGAAATCACAGGTGATCCACGTTATAAGGTAAATCTCTTCACTCACATTGTAGTGTGTGTGTGTATATATATATATATATATTTCAGTAAGTTTCAATGAAATTGTATTATTTAATATTTATTCGGGTAATGCTTTTTATTTAGTTGTTTAATTTTCATGTGTAATTTATAGTATACTTGTGATATGCTTTCAACAATCTAGTGTAAGTAGTCAATGGCTGGCAAAATTACTTGGTAATATAACTTGAAAACAATAGCCGTTCAAACAACTGCATATATATGTGTATGGGCATTCAGTATGCCATAGTTTGGGAAGTATACTGCACTCTGAATGATAGAAACAAAATTCATAAATTAGTACCGTCCTCCATCTCATAATTTTTTATTTAGTAACTGCATGTTTCACTCTTCAAATTTTACGTCTATTTGTAATGTTTGTGTCCTTTTAGATTTTACTTTTGGTCTGTCTTCATTTTAACAATTTTCCCCACATTGTTGTATTGCATACTTTTGTATGTACGTATGTAGTATATCTACCATTCAATGTTCAAATCGCATGTCTACCCGTAGAATTTGTTTGTTTCCCTATTTATTTGGTATGTTTTGTTACTTTTGTATATTTACTTTGAAAGTAATCATTAATCCCAGTATAAATTGCTACTTGTAATGCCTTTCAACTTTCTGAGATTTGTTATTGTCTATTGGTTATAGGAAATTGGGACATTCTTTATGGACCTCATAAACTCATCTCACAGCTATGCAACTGGAGGGACATCCGTCAATGAGTTCTGGTATTATGATGTCAGCATTTTTACTTTTTCAGTTTCAGTTTGTCTACATGCATTTGAAAAATTGAAATTATCCACTGAATAATTGGTTTTTACAAGGTCATCAAGCATATATGTTTTGTTCCTTTATAAGTTGATAACCAATACTAGATTTCTTTCTGAACTCCTTTTCTTCAATTTTTTGCGTAGGAGTAATCCAAAGAGAATAGCAGACAATATAAAAACGACAGAGAACGAAGAATCATGCACCACTTATAATATGTTGAAGGTAGAGTAAATCATTCATCGATCATTTAATTAAACTTGTCATATAATGCTCGGGAAGTGAAAGATGTCTATGTAAAAGTTTTCTCTTTCAGAAGAGAGATTGACATGGTAATTCATCACTGCATATTCATGATTTATGTCTGCATATGTTTATGTAACTGATTGTTTCCATTGTCTTACCACTCAAAAAAATGATTTCAGGTTTCACGCCACCTGTTTAGATGGACCAAAGAAGTCTCTTATGCAGACTATTATGAACGTGCCTTAACCAATGGTGTTCTCAGCATTCAAAGAGGAACAGATCCTGGAGTGATGATTTATATGCTTCCATTAGGTCTTGGGGTTTCCAAGGCTAAAACTTTGCATAGTTGGGGAACACCATTTAATGATTTCTGGTGCTGCTATGGAACAGGTGTGATTTGTTTTGTTTATATTTTTTATAAACTGCACCATATTGTTTGTCAACTCTACCATACTCTCATCAGTCATTTATTTATTCTCAAATTCTTTTTTCTGTCTATAGGAATTGAATCGTTCTCAAAGCTGGGGGATTCTATATATTTTGAAGAGGAAGGGAAAGATCCTACACTTTACATCATTCAGTACATATCAAGCTCATTTAATTGGAAATCTGGCAAAGTTTTGCTCAATCAGACAGTTGTTCCAGTTTCTTCATGGGATCCTTACCTACAAGTGACATTTACATTTTCTCCTGTAGAGGTACCTGTGACATTGTTTTATGGGTTATGGCATCTCATTTAGCCAAATATTCATCTTATATACCTTTTAGAGAGCATCATAACCTGGGCAAGACTTTGTTTTTGTTCTAAATTTAGTGACTTTGATTTATTTTAAATTTTTAATGTCTAAACAAATTGGCTAAAGGATAATGGATAAGGTACAATATTTTCTAAGTAAACGTGGTGAATTTGTGAGACTTACAATGTCATTTTTTAAACATTATTTTAGAAGAAACCAACAAGATATGAAATGTAAGATTCTCTGCATTTTTCTTCCACAACCTAAGTTTTCAAATCTTTAGCTTTGCACTTGCAGAGTACTTTGTCTACATTGAACCTTAGACTACCAAGTTGGAGTCGTCTGGATGGTGCCAAGGGGATATTAAATGCTGAAAGGTTATCTCTGCCAACTCCAGGTTGTCTCTCTTTACATTCATACATACTAGTTCAGTAGTTCCTAGAATGTAGACCACCAAAAAGAACTTCTTTTGCAGCAAATATACACACTGGTAAACTATGTATATTTGTATATTATTTTAACAAAACAAAAAAATTAACAAGTGAAACATTGGAGTAATATTTTATTTTTTGGACCTCTAGGAAATTATTTGTCAATCACACGACAATGGAGTGCTAGTGACAAGCTCACCCTTCAGCTGCCAATTACCATAAGAACAGAGGCCATAAAAGGTATCTTCACAAAATAATCCATGCATGTTGAATACTATTATTCTTCTGTCAGAGCATATTTTTCTAACAAAATAATTTGGTTATATTACCGATATGTTTTTGAACTAAATACAGATGACAGACCCGAATATGCATCTATTCAAGCAATTCTTTATGGTCCTTATCTTCTTTCTGGTCATACAAGTGGTGGTGATTGGAACCTTAAACCTGAGGCCAACAATGGAGACTGGATTACTCCTGTTCCTGCCTGTTACAATAGTCAACTAGTTTCTTTATCCCAAAAAATTAAAAAATCAACTTTTGTTTTGGTAAATTCAAACCAATCACTTGCAATGCAAAAATTGCCTAAACCTGGAACTGATTTGGCTCTTCACGCTACCTTTAGGCTTGTCCTAAAAGAACCTTCCTCAAAATTTTCAACATTGGTAGATGCTAATGGTAGATCAGTGATATTAGAACCATTTGATCTTCCTGGAATGAATGTGATTCACCAAGGAGCAGACAAACCACTTCTCATTGTAGATTCTTCCAATGGTGGACCATCTTCTGTTTTTCTAATGGTACCAGGATTGAATGGTAGAAATGAAACCATATCTTTAGAATCCCAAAGCAACAAGGGCTGTTACATATATAGTGGCATGAGTTCTAAAGCAGGAGTGAAGCTCAGTTGCAAAACTGATTCTGATGCTACTTTTAATGAAGCAACAAGCTTTGTTACTCGGAAAGGATTGAGCCAATACCATCCTATCAGTTTTGTGGCTAAAGGGATAAACAGGAATTTTCTTTTGGAGCCATTATTCTCATTCAGAGATGAACACTATACAGTTTATTTCAAAATCTAGTAGCGATATGCTATATAATAACATATATGAGCTTCGTGGATTACACACGAGCTGTTGAAAATAAGTAGCATAAACAAAGTGATGGGTTATTTTATTGGGAAAAACCAAGTAAATATACGATATACAAAAGAGTTTATAAGTGGGGTGGGGCTATTCACTATTGTAAGATATTTTGTCATTTTATTTGTGGGTTATATTTTTTAAAAGGAGTATTATGTAGGAAACAACTTTTGAAAATAATATTTTCAAGAATATAATATCCGGAATGACATTTCTCGGTATTTTAAAAAAGGCATTTGATTCGTGATGGGAATAATTTTATGAAAATGAATGTAAAAAAAGTAAAAATGAATTAAAAAAAAATTAACTGTAAAATTATTTTACTCCTCGGAATATTCTTACCGGTATTCATGTATTCTGAAAAATATTGTTAAATAACTTGAAATAAATGTTCTCATGTTCTTGGTGGAGGATGAGTACAAAAAGCTTTTAATAAGAAGTTAGGTGGTGGGTGCAAAAGAAATTCTAATGTTAAAATTAACTAGTCTTCCAAATAATATACGTATGCAGGTATATATTTATAAGTAAAAAAACGTTATTAGTGAGAATGATATCAGTGGGACATAATTTTTATCAAATACACTCATATACACACAGCAGAAACAAGAGAAATGGAAGAGGAAATTTTTCACTCAACTTACATACACTAACAACGTACAACATATGGCCTTTTATAGGCAAATGTTACAACACACAAAATAATAAAATATTATATTTAAGAAACTTAACGTATGCAAATTTGAGATGATGCAGCCTTCGTGGAATTCAATTTGAACCATGCAGCAATTATAGAATTCCAAATTTCACTTTGAAACGGTGCAGCCAATTTTGACTTTCAAGTAACGTACTATTCATCAATTTAAGAGATTGTCGGTAGCCTACAATTTTGAATTCCAAGTTACTGTAGCTTACTGTAGCTTGATTTAGTTTTCTGACATTGCCTCCCTTAAATCAAGCTTGTATCATTCCAAGCATTCTTTTTAACTTGCAGAATAACTCAACTTTTAACGGCTTCGTGAAAATATCTGCAACTTGTTCTTCAGTTGAACAATATTCAATTGTTACTTCTTTCTCAGCTACCAGTTCTCGGATTTTATGAAACCGAATATCTATGTGCTTGGATCTTCCATGAAATACTGGATTTTTGCATAATGCAATTGCTGACTTGTTATCACAAAATATCATTGTGGGAGTATTTTGCTTTTGATACATTACTTCAAGCATTCTTCTCAGCCACACAGCTTGGGTTGCACAACTTGCTGCTGCTATATATTCTGCTTCGGCAGTTGAGAGTGCCACCACTTGTTGCTTCTTTGATGACCATGATATTGTACCACTTCCAAGATTGAATGCATATCCTGACGTGCTCTTTCTTGTCTCTATATCTCCTGCCCAATCACTATCCGTATATCCAACAAGATTCACATCAATGTTTTTATCATAGAAAATTCCTTCTGTCAGAGTACCTTTGATGTATCTGAGAATTCTTTTAGCTGCCTGCCAATGAGAATCTCGAGGCTTTTCCATGAATCTACTGAGTAGTCCAACTCCATAGACAATATCTGGCCTGGTTGCAGTTAAATATCTAAGGCTTCCAATCAAACTTTTATAGAGAGTTGGATTGACTTTCTTGCCTCCAATGTCACTGGTCAGCTTCAACTTTTCTTCAACAGGTGTTGAGATTGGCTTTGAATTCTCCATCTTGAACTTCTTTAAAATATCACCTGCGAATTTCTTTTGAGAAATGAAAATTCCATCATCTCGCTGATCAACCTCGATGCCTAAAAAATAGGACATTAGGCCCAAATCCGTCATTTCAAAACATTTAACCATAGCCTCCCTGAATTCTACAAACATTTTTGGATTGTTGCCAGTAAAAATTAGATCATCAACATAGAGGCACACAATAAGAATATTGTCAGGATCAACTGATTTGATATACAAAGTGTGTTCAAATGGGCATCTCTGAAAACCATTATCCACAAAGTAAGAATCAATCTTCTTATACCACGCCCTGGGTGCCTGTTTCAGACCATACAATGCCTTCTTCAATCTATAGACTTTATCTTCTTTTCCTTTAACTTCATATCCTGCAGGCTGCTCAACATATACTTCTTCTTCCAAAGTGCCATTCAGAAAAGCAGATTTAACATCCATTTGATGAATTTTCCAATTATTTTGAGCTGATAGAGAGATAAGCATACGAATTGTATCTAATCTCGCTACAGGAGCAAATACCTCAAAATAATCAATACCTGGCTTTTGTTTGTACCCTTTTACTACCAACCTTGCTTTAAGGCGATCAATTTCTCCACTGGACTTGTACTTAGTTTTGTACACCCACTTTACTCCAATTGGCTTTTTGTCTGCTGGTAAGTCTGTCAGCTCCCATGTTTGATTCTTCTCAATGGCATGAATTTCTTCATCCATTGCTTTTCTCCAATATTGATTATTTGAAGCTTCTTCAAAAGTTACAGGCTCACAATCTGCAAATAAGGCAAAATTGATAATTTCTTCATCAGATGGGTCATTATCATTACCCACAACATAATCCTCCAATCTGGCTGGTAATCTCCTTTGCCTTTGTGGTCTGCTTGATGTTTCTGGTTCATCAGGTGTTGGATTTACATGTCCATTCTCCTCTTCATAGTTTTCTGGATTTATTACAGGCTCCTTTTGTGCTTTGAAAGACCAATCCCACATTCCTTCTTCATCAAAGGTCACATCTCTGCTGATGATAACCTTCTTTGTCACTGGATTGTAAAGCTTATACGCCTTTGAGTTGGTGCTGTAACCAATAAAGATGCACTTCTCTCCTTTGTCATCTAGCTTCTTTCTGAGTTGATCTGGTACATGAGCATATGCTATACACCCAAAAATTTTGAGATGCCGGATTGAGGGCTTCCTTCCACTCCAAGCTTCTTCTGGTGTTTTATCACAAACACTCTTTGTTGGACACCTGTTCAAAATATACACAGCAGTAGAAACTGCTTCTGCCCAGAATTCTCTAGGCATTTGTTTTGCCTTTAGCATGCATCTCACCATATCCATGATTGTTCTGTTCTTCCTTTCTGCTACTCCATTTTGTTGAGGAGTGTATCTAGTTGTCATTTGATGCTGAATTCCATGGTGGTCAAAGAAATTTGCACAGGCAAGATATTCTTGGCCTCTATCTGTCCTTAATGCTTTAATCTTACAGCCACTTTGTTTCTCCACAAATGCCTTAAATGACTTAAAGGCATCACAAGCTTCTGATTTCTGTTTCAAAAAATACACCCAAGCTTTTCTGCTAAAGTCATCAATAAAAGTAATGAAATACCTGCTACCGCCATGTGTTGGTATTTCAACCATGCATAAATCTGAATGAACTATCTCTAATAGCTTCTTTGCCCTCCAAGATACTCCGGTTGGGAATGATTCTCTATGCTTCTTTCCAATCTCACACGTCTCACAAACTCCATTAGGAATATTCACAATAGGCAAGCCAGAAACATATTCTTTTTTTGACAAATAATTTAATCCAGAGAAGTGAAAGTGTCCAAAGCGCATATGCCACAACCAATCATCATTGGGAATAATAGAACTCAAACAAGAAAACTTTTCATGACAAATCTTCAAAGGAAATAAGCGATTCGGGGTCATTTTTACTTTAGCTATAAATCTTCCACTTTTGTCTATCAACGTGCAGTATCCATGATGAATCTGCATGTTGTAACCTTTCTCTGATAGTTGTCCCATACTCAACAGGTTATGATGAAGACCAGGAGCATAGAAAACATCAGAGATGAAATTTTGAGAACCATCCTTCAATTTAATTGCAACTCGACCTTTTCCCAAAATCGGAATGTTAGAATTATTTCCGAATTTCACAGTAGATTTTACCGTTTCATCTAGTGAGAAAAATAACTCCTTTTTCCCACACATGTGGTTGCTGCAGCCAGTATCTAGGTACCAAATATCTCCATCGCCTGAAAAATTATTTGCTACTAGAAGTAAGGTTTGTGGACTATCAGAACTCTCACCAGTATGCTTATATTGATTTTCTGCTATATTTGCTTGTTGTTTGAATCTACAATCTGCAGCTCTGTGCCCGAATTTTCCACAGTGGTAGCAATTGAAATTTGTCCTCTCCTGGTTAGTGAAGCTGCCTCTTCCTCTTCCACGGTTGGAAGATCTGAAATTGTGTCCACCTCTTCCTTGATTAAGTGGCCTGAAATTGTTGTCTCTCCATTGTTGATTAAAATTACAACGACCTCTTCCTCTGAAACTACCACGGCCTCTTCCTTTGAAATTTATATTTCCTCCTTCACGATCTCTACTGTCTTCACTTCGGCTGGGTTCTGCTATGTTGGTAAAATTCACCTGGCTTTTCAATGCTTCTTCATTTATTTTCTCAGTTTTCTCCAAGATTCTGCTCACATGGCTTTCAATGCTACCTTGCAATTCTGCAACTGTCATGATTTCTATGTCGTGGGACTCAATTATTGTAGTCACCACATGATCAAACTTCATCGGCATGGTGCGTAGAATTTTCTCCACCACCTTGCTTTCAGGAATATCTTCTCCATATACTCTCATTTTGTTGACGAGATCTGTAACTCGTGAAAAATATTGTTCCACGGATTCAGAATTCGACATTTCATATTTTTCATATTCCCGTCGCAAAGATTGCAACTTGGATTTTTGAGCTTTCTCTACTCCTTTGTATGATAGCTTCAAAATATCCCACGCTTCTTTGGCTGTTTTGGCATTTGCTATTTTGCCAAAAATTGAATAATCTACACCTTGGTGAATTTGTGATAGCGCCAACTGGTCCTTCCTTTTAGTTGCATCATCTGCTCCTTGTTGTAAGCCTGGTTCAATAAAGCTCCAAATATTATGAGCTTTCAAATGGGTGGACATCAATAATGCCCAATAATTGTAATCCAGTTTTCCATCTAATTTGGGACCGGACCAAACAATATTGTAGTTGGTGGCCATATCTCTTTCTCAAATAGACTCTGAAAATTTTGATAAAGTGAGAACTCTCTTGTTCCTCACACAAATATTTTTTTTTTCTCTCACACTATCACCGGACTCTCTGGCTCTGATACCAATTTGATATCAGTGGGACATAATTTTTATCAAATACACTCATATACACACAGCAGAAACAAGAGAAACGGAAGAGGAAATTTTTCACTCAACTTACATACACTAACAACGTACAACATATGGCCTTTTATAGGCAAATGTTACAACACACAAAATAATAAAATATTATATTTAAGAAACTTAACGTATGCAAATTTGAGATGATGCAGCCTTCGTGGAATTCAATTTGAACCATGCAGCAATTATAGAATTCCAAATTTCACTTTGAAACGGTGCAGCCAATTTTGACTTTCAAGTAACGTACTATTCATCAATTTAAGAGATTGTCGGTAGCCTACAATTTTGAATTCCAAGTTACTGTAGCTTACTGTAGCTTGATTTAGTTTTCTGACAGAGAATATTATCATTAAATATATTCAAGAATTTTTATTGCTTTGTGATAGTCAAGCGTTCCACTTCATAATAATTACAAGAAGGATGCAACTTTGCTCTAGTTGTCCCTCAACAATATGTCTTGACAGTGATACTGATGATAATTGGATAGATCGTGATGCTATTAATCTCAAAACCTCTTCAATGCATCTCATATTGTTATTTATTATATTCATACACCTCCCTATATTAATATAATTTTGATTGACACCAAATAATATATTTTCCCTCGGAAGAAATTCTCTTCTGATGAAAATGTCTTTATAAACAGCTGTATAAAGCCTTTAAGATAATATGAAAAGCAACATCATGCAAATTTAAGGCGAAGACATATATAATAGTAATACTAGTATTTGATTTTACGCAAACCCATTGGATTCAGAGGCGAGAACAGGGTTTTAGCGGCTTCCCGCATAGGCATGGATTGTGGTCGAACGCACTCGGGTGAAGATGGTTGATGGGCAGGCCACGTGGCAAGCGCCCACAGAGACGGTTATGACTGAAATCCAAGTACCCAATGTAAGTAGCCCAAACCAAAGACTTAGGAACCCGGCCCATCAAGTTGTTACGCGACAAATCAAGGCTTATGAAATACGAATTCTCCCCAAACGCATCAGCTATGCGCCCACTCAACCAGTTTCTACTCACATCCAAATGGGTCATTCTCGACCCCAACAATCTCCACGGAATCCTCCCCGTTAGGTTGTTGTACTTCAAATTCAGAGAGTCCAGAACCGCCATCCGGCCCAGCGACCTCGGAATGGAACCGGACAACCGGTTCAGCGACAGGTCCAGCTCCGCCAGCCCGTAGATGTCCGAAACAGACCGCGGGATTGGGCCGGTTAAGCGGTTATGACTGAGCAAGGCCCGGTTCAGTCTCTTAAGGCGGCCCAGGTCCCATGGAATTGGGCCCTGGATGGCGTTGTTTCGCAGGTCCAGTTGCATGAGGTTGGAGAGGTTGACGAGCGATGTGGGGATTCTCCCCGAGATGTGATTGGCTGCGAGGTTGAGCACGGTAAGCTGCGTGAGGCGCCCTATGTCGGAGGGGATTTGGCCGTGGATGAGGTTGCCGGAGAGGTCAACGAGTTGGAGAGAACGGAGCGTTGTGATGCAGGGAGGGATGTTTCCGGAAATGCCCTTCCAGTCGGAGATGGTGATGCTGGAGAGGTGTGTGTTAGGAACAATGGCAATAAAGGAGAGAAGAGAGAAATAAACAATACTAAGAAGTATTTGTTTTGGTGCATTTGTAAACCTTACATAAGCTTCCTTATATAACAAAAGTGAGGCACACCATCTCACAATACTAAGCAATGTGGGACTAACATAGTGAGGAACACCATCTCACAATACTAAGCAATGTGGGACTAAGAAAAAACACACTACAAAACTTAATCAAACTACACAAAAATAACAATTCTCCCACTTGGAGTTTGATTACCACATAGTGTAATTGCCTTCATCATCAGTTATTCTTGAAGGCCAATTGAGGTACTGCAAAGCCTCAATTTTTCTGTTGTGACAACCTTTGTCAACATATCCGCTGGGTTCTTACTTCCTAGTATCTTCCTCAACGTTAGTACTTCATCCTCAAGCAGAGATCTGATAAAGTGATAACGGAGATCAATATGCTTCGTTCTGGAGTGAAATGTTGAATTCTTAGCCAGATGTATTGCACTTTGACTGTCACTATGCAAAACACTCCTTTCCTGGATGAATCCCAACTCTGTCAACAATCCTTGAAGCCATATCAATTCTTTGCTAGCTTCTGTTACTGCTACATATTCAGCCTCTGTAGTGGATAGAGCAACGATCTTTTGTATTTGTGACATCCAACTAACAGCTGTAGTTCCAACCGTAAATATGTAGCCAGTGGTACTTCTTCGGTGATCAATTTCTCCAGCAAAGTCTGCATCCACGTAGCCTTGTACTTTTAGTTCACCTTTACTAAAGCACAAACACTTCTCCTTAGTGGCTCGTAAATATCTCAAAATCCATTTCACAGCTTCCCAGTGAGCTTTACCTGGATTTGACATAAACCTGCTTACAACTCCCACTGCATAGCCAATGTCTGGCCTTGTGCATACCATCGCGTACATCAGACTTCCAATGGCTGAAGCATACGGAGTTTTAGCCATTAATTCCTTTTCTTCCTCTGTCTTAGGAGATTGGTCTGTTGATAGGCGAAAATGACTAGCCAAAGGTGTGCTAACTGGTTTAGCATTGCTCATGTTGAATCTTTGTAGGACACGGTTTATGTACTCCGCTTGAGATAACTGCAAAGTTCCCTTTTGCTTATCTCTCGTAATTTGCATTCCGAGGATCTTCTTTGCTGGTCCTAGATCTTTCATGTCAAATTCTTTTGACAACTGCTTCTTCAAATTTCTGATCTCAATCATATTTGAACCTGCTTGAAGGGAGGAATGTTGTGCCCAAAGTGTGTGGGTATCCTCCAAAGTCCCACATCATGTAGTTTGAAGAAGGGAGTGGTAGACTACTACTATAAATAAGAGGTGATAGTTAGTGTCTACTCACCACAACAACATAGGTTCCAATGGGTGTATTGGGGACTTGGGTAGTTGTGTGTCATGAGAGGGTTTTCAAGTTTTTCCAGAAAACTTGTGTATGAAGGTTTCCAAGTTTTTCCAGAAAACTTGTGAGTGAGAGGGTTTGCAATTTTGTCCTTGTAAAAATTGTAAGTAGAGAGAAATAAAATGAGTTTGTTTTTGTTTCTCTATTTTTGTGTGTATGCTTCCGCTGTCCCTGTTTGAAGGCTTCTTTTCCCAACAGTGTGTGAGGTTGCAGATGGAGGGGGAGATGTGGCCGGTGACGGTGAATTCGCCGCCGCGGAGGGTGATTCCGGCGACGCGGCGCGTGGTGGGGTCGCAGGTGATGTCGTGCCAGTGGTAGCAGCAGTTGGTGCCTCTCCATGAATGGAAGAAACCCGAGTAGGGTTCCTTTAGGGCTGCCTTGAAGGCCATGAGTGCTGCCCATTCAGATGAAGGGCAAGAGTTAGTGGGTGAAGGTGTTAGAGCCATTAGGGTTACTAGTACCATCGACAAAACTACATTACCACCGGCACTAGCCATTTTTTTAGCACACACTCCACCAGAAACAATCCTACTCAAACTAATTGAGTAGGGTTGGTGTGGGAAACAAAGCTCTTCCTTAAGTTTTGTTTGATTGTAGTGAGTGTGCATGCGGTACTATGCATGCATGTCACTTACTATAAATGGAAAACTAGCATTAGGTTGGTGTTATATATATAAGGAGAGATTGGCGGAAGCAAAGGGGAATTGAATATGAATGCTTGGGATATAAGAAAAGCTTTGATGTTTTTGTTGGGGAAGCTAAGCCAGCTTGTGTTGCATGGTGCTACTAACAAGAAAGGTATTTTCTAAATGTCGATTTTGAAACTGATCGTGGTGGGGGCGGCTAACATGGCTGGGTACGTCGTGGACTCGTGTTTAGTGTTTTGGGTGGGGAATGGACTTTATATATATACACTATAAGGGTCGAGGTACTTTGTATCTCTAATAGTTATATACAGACATAATATTAGAAAGTTGTATGTAATTATTTAAAGAGGAGATATGATTTTTTTTTTTTTACATCGAAGGAATATAATGATCTACTAAAAAGTGAAAACCAAAAATGGTTACATACTCTTGTATCCCCTTTATAATAGGTATATATATATATATATATATATGAAGAGGATTCAAACGATATCGGTGTAAATTTTACTAAGTATTATACCGTTCAATAACTTTATATTAAATGTGAATTCTATAAATCCAACTGTTGAATTATAACTTCATATTAATATTTTATATGTTTATATCAAATTTTTGTTAAAATTAAAAAATAACTTAATGATAATCAAAGTGTTCATATTTTATTATATTTTAAAATGTATATATTACGTCAAATTTATTTTATAAAAATAAAGTATTAAATCATCTTAGATTAATATAAAATTTTGTATATATGATCTAAGAATAAAACATTTTTAATCTAACGATTGAATTTATAAAATTCATAATTAATATAAAGTTATTGAGTAGTGTAATACTTAGTAAAAATTATATTGGTGTCATTTAAACTCTCTCTCTGTATATATATATATATATATATATATA